CCTGACCATGAAGGGCGATGTCCCAAGTTTGAATCTGACCAGTTGCATTTCATTCCCCATCTCTCTCACCTCATATTAATAGAGGAATAAAAACAGTAGAGTGAAAATGTTCAGATTCTGGTGAACTACAGTAAAATCTGTACAGTGAAAATTTTTAAATTGGTCTGCGTGGGGCTAGCCCACCTGCAGGTCCTGCAATCAGACACTGTAATGGTGCAGATTTCAACCAGGACTGCAGGTGCATGAGCAGTGTAATTGTGATTTATAGTCATAATGCAGGCAGGGCAGTCTATCGTTTGCACACTGTGGCATACCAAATTAAATTGCCACATGGGAAAATGTGGAGTTACTATGGGAAATTTTTAAATGTGACCTACCTCCTACCTGTCATGGCTGTCATGAGAGCCTGGCATACTTCCAAATTGCTACACAGTACAAAAAAAACTCTTCACCCTTTCAGTATCATCTCAGATGTAGTGCATCAGTGGCTAATAACAAGTCCAGTTTCTGTCCAAGTCCTGGCATTGTGCATGCTGACTCACTGTCACACTGTCATGGGACACTTAAATAGAACAGAGACACCGTGCCACCTGTGCTTTGTGCAACATTTCTGCTGTTAGAAAGACCTATCTCTTCCTACACTCACCCCAACAGTTTATAAAATAAAGGTAATGTATTTTTGACCTCGAATCAGCATTTACGTCAGTGTTTCATTCTGTAGAATATTATCAGGGCTGGTAGGTACGGTAGGTCCAGTGTTGTTAAAATAGGTTACATAAGTGTGCAGTAAATTCTTCTAGTACCAGCATTTTCAGTGCAAAAATGAGAAGGAGCAGACTGGTGTAGCATTAAAAAACATGCAGAAATTGTCTTCTCTTAAGGCATTACAGTAAAAAACAAAACATGAACACTGGTGAGACACATACAGTCTTCACAGTCTGCTACCAATGTTTAATTTTAAGTAAAATGCAATTCGACATCATGTCAACAGCAGAACATTGTTTCTGTATAAAAATTTCCCGCCTGTAATCAACCTCGTCAATAAAATATAAGTGGTGTTTTTGGCTTTGCAACAGAAGCCTCATCATTATGTATATTACTTCACAGCATTTTAGTTCACTGTTTCTGTGCCTTGAGTCTGCAGTGTGCCCCTCCGGATATGATCTCTAGTGTTAAATGGTCCTTGTCTTGTTGCCAAAAAAGGAAATATGAAGATGGTAATGAACGAAGAGGAAGAGAAAGAAAAGCAGGCTATTGTTAGCACAGGTTTCTGACACTGGTACAGCAATGACGCAAGGAGAAAGTAAATGACCAAAACGGAGAGAAACAATAAAAGAAGGAGAGACAGAGAGGTGGGAAGAGAAGAAGAGAAGGAAAAGGAAGAGAGAAGACAAAAATACAGTGTGATGAGAGAATGTGATGAAAAGATCTGCGAGAGTCACAGTGGCTGGATGTCTGAAGAAATGAAAGCAATCATGAAGTGCCTCATCATGAGTCCTGGGGATATCTGAAATTGTGGAATGAAATTGTGTATTTATTTCTGTGTGTGTGTGTGTGTGTGTGTATTTCTGCACATCCTGAACGGATGAACACCATTCTTTCAAAAGAGAATCTCTCATTTGGTGTTTTGACGATGGTGGTGGCGGTGAGTACTGTCTAACCAGTTGTTCAACGTGGTCGAGATCTGGTGAATGTGAAGGCCATCGCATATGTTTCATATGAAGTCCACAAGGAAAGAGGATGCGGTGGTTCGGTGGGTCAACAAAAAAGGATTAGGGTTATGAGCCACGCCTGAGCAGAATCAATCACTGGCAATCGCTGCACAATGCATGTTGACGTCGTGTACAGGTAGGCAAAAATAACCTCACAAGATCGAGGCTACCGCTTCTTACAGCTAGGTGCCACCGGTGCAAGACCCAAGGCAAGATGAAAAAAACCTGCCTGCTGTCTGACCTCATCCACTTTCGCAGCGAGGCGCAGTTCATCTTGAATGAGCCCAAAGTCAGACTATGACATGATGGGAGTCAACTGCTCGCTTCCATTTTTCCTATTAGTCAACAGTTAGCGTTGGTTTCTTTTCACCATGACAATTCCCTGGCCAAAGACCATGTTGTTATTATAACCATGATGACAAATAAGTTGTGACGGAGTCAGAAACCGTAATAGATTATTATTAAATATTTGAGAATGTTTTTGTTTTTTTTTACTTTTTAGGCACTTCAATATTTATAAAATGAAGCAGAATGAAATTAATCTATTTTGTATCCTCTTTCCTAAATGGTGCTGTCATAGCAATCATTTATAGTTAATCCCGATCCTGCCATTAAATAATGCAAGTAAATGGATGTAAAAATGGTGCAGACGACAGCCCCCTAAAACTGATAAAAAAATAAAACCTCATTAGTGATTGGCTGACTAGCCATAAACTAACCAAAGCTGTGTCACAATTATTTTTGCAGAAGTGATTTGTAACAGGTCTGAAAGCCACAGACAAATTATGTCATTCTGCAGAGAGGGGCATCCAATCAAAAAACCTTTTATGTTTCGTTCTGGAGTTCTGATGCGATTGTATTTTGTCATTTAATCTGGAGGACTTGTTGGCCACACATGTACTCACCCACTTGTCAAAATTATGGTGAAAGATGACTCTGCTGACGGCATGACTTTTTTATTTGTGACTGAAGCTCCTGCCATCTGTGCCCTAATTAGAAATCCCCTTTCTAAATAAATTAGATATTTTTCCTCCTGCCATCTTGATCCAAAGTCAAATTTAACTCAAATTGAATATACATATACTTTATACATGTCCAGAGGATAAGGGCCTCACACAGCACAGCTGTATGGAAGCATCAGCATTCGTTATTCAACTCATTTATTCAGGCTTTTCCTTTACTTTTTCACATGTCTGTTGATAATGACATTTTTTGGTGTGACCATCAGATTTTAAACAATCAATTAAGAAAAATGTATTATCACTATACAACACATGGTTGTATAATGAAATGAAGATTTGCAGGTCCTTCATGCTACACACATAGAAAAAGATAATTAATTCATAGAATAAGATAAAAGAAAACAATATATACAGTCTTTTATATACATATATACACACACGTATACACCCAGGAAATTATTCTGAGGCAGGCATTTTTGAAAGCAGCCCTAACTTAAACCTTCACCAAAGTGGTTTCAGTGTCTTTAATATGCTAGCTAACTTGCCTACATGATGAAGTAAAATTAGCATGGCCAACTTGTTCTACAATCACTAATCATATTCGTGGTGGAGCGACGTCCAAGTTTGATGAGACTGTCTTTGAGTCGCTCACTCCTTCAACTTCTTTGCAACTCATTTGATAAACGAATGAGGGTTACTCATAACTAAATTCAGATCCCATTAAGATTTAATCAAGCCTGAGGGAACAAGAGAGGATTGGACAAAGGATCCGAGAACCTTTTATCTGTCTATTCCAGGACTCCCACCATTTATTATGTCCCTATTAGCCAAAGACAACTTGTAAAATCCTCAAAATGAAGTTTTTCTTAGAACAGCTTTGTGCAGGCACTTTTAAAAAGTGTGCAAATCCTGGGACATTTCAGTCGCAGACACAGTTACAGGTGACCACAGACAAACTCTGCTTTGCTTTTTTAATGAAACACCAAATGCGCATTATTAAGTACACATACCCTCCATTAACACAGTGCAAAACTGAGAAAGAGAGAGGTAGATGAAAGTAAAGAGAGAAGGAGAGATGAAAGACACAGTCACAGCATAATGGCATTAAGATTTTCTAAGGTACAAAGCAACCTTATCCAATGACATAAATAGGACAGTTTCAACACAGTTTGATGCCTTGAGTGTTGCACCACTTCACTTTTGCTGCAAGGACAAGTGTGATTAGCAGCTTGATGTCACAGCGGTTCATGCTATTCACCACCTCTGTCTTGCACACAACTGGAAGCAGCCTGAGGGTAGATTAGATTCTGTTGTGCTTGTGCATGAATCTGTGTATGTGTGAGAGTGCGTGTCTGTGTTTTATTTATTTAACCTTTAAAGCTATTTCTGCACCTTGTTTCAGTCCTTTACTCAACAAGGCATGTGCTGGTTTAACAGACAGTGTTTCTGGTTGGGCCAAAACTCTCCTGTTGTCAAATATTAAAACAGATTCTCTTGTATTTTTCTGTACCTATCCACAGTGCAGTCAATGTAATATTAGGTCTTTTTAAGGTCAGCTCACTGCAAATCATTTACATTTTCTCTGATCGTTAGCAGTATCTAGACATGCAGTTTTGGTTTCATTTGTCTTGGTTCTGAAATATCTGTGCCAAAGAGACAGTTAGATAGTCATCTCAACACCAGAGCAAGAGAAAATATAATGTTTTTTTTTTTTGGGGGGGGGGGGGGGGGTTGGCGTAGGGGGGGGGGGGGATTTGGGTAAACTGAACCTTTAAATTTCCTTTGAATGAAGTAACCCTGCTGCTTTTAAATGACCTGGTCTAGCTCTTTCAAAAATCAGATAACCCTGAAAAGTTATTTCATGCTTAATATCACTATCAGAGTTACTATGTGCAAAACAAAATCATTCACCGTATTCAGAGTTTTTCATTTTCTGCTTCATATACAACATATCTCATATCCGCTGTATATTACCTGTATCACTGCACACATGAACGGCTACTGTACTTATCTTTCACAGACTGCAGACATTGATGGTGACAATATCCTGTAAAGACCTGTCAGAAACCCTTTATACATACTGTATCTGTGTATTATTCCTACATGGCACGGTCAAAAGGGTTTGACCTTTTCTGTCAAATACAATCGAAGCCATTAGCAAAGCAATATGAAAGAAAGAGAAGAATCTGAACAAAACAATTTCACACACAGTTACATCCTACTGGTTTACTGTCTTAAGCAGACTAGCAGCTGAATCACTTATGATATGACTAACATGTGGAAGGCGCACTGCTGCAATCCATCCTTCTTTCTGATAACTGGCTTTCTAGCCCAGGGCTAAATAACACTCCACTCTATCCCTGCAGGGTTCTCCATCATTGCCCCCTCCGCCTGCCTTCAAAGACTTGATCTTGTCATTGTAAACATCAGTCCTGGATCCCATGCTTTCGATGGCACACAGAGAATACTACACAGAAAAAGATGGAAAGTGTAGACCAGGTCAATTTAGCCTCAAGACAAACAATAGCTTTTGCAAGGGATTAACTCACACTGTCAACTGCAAACTGCGACTCAGAAGCTTTAGGTGACAAAAAGAAAGAATTCCTCCCTGCTGATACATCAAATAATCTGCAGGTCTCAGAGGCTGGTCATATCAGTTCTTTCATCCTCCCTGTCTCCTACCAGAGAGTTGGTTTGTGATATTTTGCTTCTGTGCTGTCCAGTGTAACAGAGAGTGTCTCTGCCCATCGTAATGATGTCTCTCTTATCAGCTGACAGACCATATATTCTGTCCCCTGAATGCCTCCTCAACGGCAGCACGCCTATTTCCACAGACTCAATTCTTAAAGGTAATGGTCCAGCGTTCTCATTCAGAGAGTGTCTTCTTGTGGGAAGGAAGTCCACTCTTTGTATGGAGTGCTGGAGTGTGTGGAGCTGGCAGGGGAACAAGGAGCTGTCACACACACTGGGACTGGACCGACACCAGTCTGAGATACTGTGGTCGGATCCTGCTCGGCTGTCTGAACTGTCTCTGACCTTCTGCCCCAGTCCTTTGCCTCTAGCCAAGCTCAACAGCCTTGGGATTGTAACAATGGATGCAGATGCTGCCACAGCAGCAGCAGCAATATGGTGGCGCTCAACAGAAGTCACTTTGATGTCTGCAATCACTGACACAGGAGACGTCACTGTAGCTGAGCTGGAGAATGAGGAGGAGCCAAAGAGAGCGGCGACTTTCTGGTAGTATCGCGTCCGTATAATCTTTGCTGATCGGTACAGATCGCCTATGAAACAGTAACAGATGGGGTTAAGGCTGGAGTTTGTCAGGCCCAGCCACTGGGCAAATGGCCGCGTCTGCAGGAGCCAAGATGGTGGCCTTTCCTCACAGTCGATCCAAAGGTCAGCCAAGTACAGTGGTAGCCAGGACACTGCGAACAGCAGCACCAGACACACAACCATCTTGGCGATCTTCTGGCGTGTCTTGAGGCGTGAGACATGCAGAGCTTGGCTGCGTGGATCAAGATCAGCGAAAGTGGTTTTCCTCCCTCCCCAAAGCCGCCTTCCAGTTAGGAAGCCTATGGTGAGGTTAAAGGTCACAGGGAGGCAGTACAGCATCACAAACAGCAGCACATTGTATCTGTGGAAGAATTAAAAATGAGATACTGATTAAATTCTCTTTTTGAAACTACATTCATTACTTAAGGCTGAAATCTGTAATGCTTTTACTTAAAATATATGTATTATGTCCATTTGTAAATTTGGTAAAACCAATTAAAAGGGATATTTTACGTTACTGGAGACACTCTCCGTACTTTCCACACTATGTAGAAATTGTGTCAAGGGTGTTATTATTACAACAATAGTAAGTATAGTTAGCAGGGCCACAGTGGATTCCTTTCAATACTTTTTTAATTATTTGCTCCCTTTTCCATCAACAAGACACAAGAATCAATGTGACAACATTATATAACCAGCAGCACTCTATTAGAACTCTCTTTTAAATTAGATTTGAGAGTATCTCTGGATAATCAACACTATTCGTAAAGTGATTAAACAAACAATAAAGCAATAATGGCACATCAGTCAAAAAGATAAAAGTACAGAGTGTGCACAATAGAGGTCGTTCTAAGCCATTTCACAGCTCGTGATTAAGGAAAAAAAAAGATAATTTCTAAAAATGAAAAAATAAGTCTCTCAAGTCACTGAACCTGTGTTTTACAGTAAGTACAAAATAGTGCAACTCAAGTACAGCATTTAAAAGCCTTGCAGGTCTGAACAGAAAGTGGGTCCCTGTATAAGAAACTAAAGCCCCTTGAGACACCAAACCAAAATTTAAGAACTAGCACATCCAAACGCCAAACGATCACATGTTGTGCTTCTTGTCCTTACATTGCCGCAAGTTTGTCTTTTACGCACTGCAAAGACTACAGACGACAACCACAGTTATGCACCTGTTCACGATATAAAAAACACTATTCAAAAGTAGTTAATAGGTCTTATTATAAACACCAATTGCATCAATTCTGACAAAAAGTTGCAACTATAACTTTTGTCTGGCCATGGTCTTTTTCTAATGGGGGAAAACAGAGCATGAGGGAGGAGAAAGCACTTTAAAGGGGTGAAATCTCTGATTTGCTGGGCTGAACAGTCAATCAAAGATGTCTCTTTTCTTTGACAGTCCTCTGATTCCACATGCTCAATTGGCCATTAAGAGCCAATTACTGCCAACACAGCCAGACACCACAAAAACCACTGGTGATTGATGGCCATGAAACATAAACCTTGGTCCAATCAATGGCTGGCCTCAGGCTGCATCATGATTCATGACAGATCTGAAAATGAGTTGGAGAGTGGAGAATCTGCATAGATTAGATCACAGACTAGATCATACAACAATGGTAGTCTGTCGGAGTACTTACCCTTGTTTAAGGCGATGCTGAGGCCACTCCTCCTGACAGACCAAGATGGCAAATGTCCCAAAGCTGATCTCTCGTCGCCTGTTCATCACTGCAATAGGAGCACACATGATCGAAGAAACTGTCCACACCACTGCGACGGTTGCCAAGATTCGACGCCGGGTAAACATGGAGCGGGCTCGCAGTGGTGAACGAACACTGTAGTAACGATTCACACTGATCACCGTCAGCGTTAGCACACTGGCTGAGACCGAAACAGCCTGCGTGAAGGGCACGGCTCGACACAGGAGATCACCGTAGACCCAGGCAGTGTAGATCTGGTTTCCCAGGGTGATGGGCATGCACACACACACCACGGCAAGGTCACATACCGCCAAGTTCACCAGGAGACTGCGCGTGGCGCTGACACCAGCTAGACGCCGGCTCCGCCTGTTGGTGAGGACGCGCAGGGACATTAAATTCCCGACAAATCCCAAAATGAAAGACAGACAGTACATGATGGTCAGAGCGATTGTGCTGGGCTCGTGGAGGGTCCAGAGCAGCATGCTCTCCAGGTCTGCCAGGTCATTAGCAGAAAAGGTGGGCAGGGACAAAGGAAAGTTGGAGGATGAGGGTTGGTAGACGAAAGTGGATGCTTGCGGAAAGGATGAGGTCGAGGAGGAGGAGAATAAAGGAGAGGAGATGAGGGAGGAGGGCAGCAGAGAGGGCAGAGGTTGATGGAGGGAGGCAGTGGGTGAGCTGAAAGTGGAGGACAACACAATAGAAGTGTGGTTAAGGTTGAGTCTTTCCTGAGAGCCATCGTATTGCAGCAGTGGAGAGAAGCTGGGCTGGACTGAGCTCCAGTCCGACGGATGGTCCCGGGACAGATCCATGCTGCTTTCCCGGCAGGAACAAAACCACAGGAAGAGAGGCAGTATAGAGGTATAAAAATCTCTCAACAGTGAGGCTTACTGTACTGGTTTCCCTTGGTCCTCATTAAAATCCATTCACAGACAGGACTGAGGAAAAGCAAAACACCAAAATCAGATTCCAAGAAAGCGGGAAATCCTTACCAAAAACCTCACGTCAGGTTCCAGTCTCTGCAGCTCCTCCTCGTCTGTGTGGATAAAAATCTTTGTAGACAAATGTAAATCATGGTCCCCCATCTTAAACCACATCCTATGAGTCAGCTGGAGTCATGATGCTGTTCAGCACTGGTCCCAGTGCAGTTTTTATGTAACATATGTACATTCATTCCTCCAGGGAGTGGCTGTCTGAACCTGATAATCCACCACCAGCTGTTAATAGACTTTCTCACCTTCAAGCTAAGCAAACCTCATGCAGACTTCCCTCCTCTTCAATCTCTCTTCCTCCTCACACCTTTAGTCCATCACAGGGATGCAATCAGATCTGTTTAGAGAAACATCAAAAATATCACAGTCTGCTCCCACCTGCAGCTGTATTAACAGCTCTGTAGCAAACCAAACAACAGCAAATAACACATTCCTGGAGAGAGAAACACTGAAAAGCTTTTAACATCTCCTCTCCTTTGGAGCTGCTCCCAGTTAGGTCTTAGAAACATTCAGTAAAGAACACAGTGAGGAGAATATTTTATATTTACTGTTATTTTAATTAATGTAGACATGCTAAAGTAAAATATTCGCAGTATAGCTTAAATATAAATTATTCATTTTATACAGATGGCACAATTCTTATTTTGCGGTTATATTTTTCCATTAATGAACAAAGGGAGTCGCACCAGTCACAATCCACATCAAATTATTTATTTATTTATTAAAAAGGGATGGAAGTTGCAATATAGAAACTTAAAAATCTATCCCTCCAAAGCATATATTTTAATCCTAAATGGGTAAAATTCAAAGAGGAGAAGCTGCTAGTATAAATAGGATCGCTGAAATCAGCCAAATTAGAGTTATTCTTCACTGACCGTGTGCGCATCCTGTCTGATGCCGAG